TTGTTGGATATTCATCTAAACATAATTCACTAGTAAAATCAAATGTATACATATAATAACTTGGAAAAACAAATATTGTTATACTAAAAAATGTTCGAATAAAAAGTATAATACTCATTAAACAATATCGTTCAGTAATATTGTAATTATCTGATTTTAAATATTTTCCTACATATACACTTGATGGAGTAATTGAAATAATTAATGAAATTATAATCATAAACCAATAAAATACATGAAATACTTGATTTTGACTTGTTTTTGATGCAATAAACCATTGAAAAATATTTTCAGCATATGATTTTGAATATTTAGACGAACAATTCGAATTCCATATTGTTTCATTTGTATAGATTTCTTTAACAATATAAAAATCTCCATTGATATCTTCAATTATATTATAATTATCTCGTTTAAGATAACTATTGGCATATTTAATTATATTTAATATAAATAATGTCAATGCAATGGCAATAAATAAAATATTACTAAAAAATTTTAAACGTTTTAAATTTAAATAACGTCCGGACATGATTTGAAGTTATTTCAATGTTTTTTTTCTCTCTTAAAACTAACATTCTTATCATAATTTAAATAAGTAAAGATAAGAATTCTTTTTCTTTTTGTTCTAAATGTAAATGCTAATAAAAATAAACTACACACAAACGAAGAATTATCATTGGTTTTTAAAATAGTCAATTATAAAATCCGGCCTTGGACAATAAATGACTTTCTTGTATTAGAAAATCATTCTTGAAAGAACAAGTTGTCAGATGTAATAAGAGACTAGCATTAATTAATTAGTTTCTCGCAAAATTGAGAGAATTCTGTCAGATTAGATAATCATGCTTCATTTGAAAACCTACCTATGTCATCTTGTAGAGCAACTCATAGCATATACAATGGTATATAGAAAATTGCTTTGACGTCGGGTTTTTATCTTCTAAGAAGTCATATACGAGGTAAGGGATATTATAGCAATGATACCTGATATGACCAAATGCTAGGGCTCAGTATGTTTTCGAATCAACCTATATCAAATTTTATTTGAAGTTATGTCCATAAAGCTTTGTCTGATCTTCAATTGTTTATGTATACCTGGCTACTCAGTCAGAATCTAAATTTACAAGAAACAAAGTAAAATAAAAACTAATGTTGATAATACTCTGTTTCCGTACCCTGCTTCAGGAGTCTGCAATCGAATATTATTTTTTTTTGTCATTTTTAAAAGACCTATATATGTGAAATGATAGGGTATTATGAACTTATTATTAATAAAAACAAGCTTTTTCACTCAAGAAGTATTTATTGTAAAACTCATATACTTTTTGTGTTTTTATGAATAAAAAACATTGGATTTGTTAACATATTGATTGGTTGATTTCAGCATGGTGCACATCAATTCAGAGGACAATCGATTGATATATTTATAAAATTTGGTGACACACTATTTCTGAGAAAGATACACGGTTGGTCGTCTTTGTTTGAGTACGAAGAAACCTGTTGTGAGTATTATTAAATATGCATGATTGAAGACGAGACAAAACTTGAGCAAAATAACCTTAAACAAAATTTGATATAGATTAGTTTGAACGAACACATAGGCCTAATATTTATTTGGTCATATTATCCACAATTGCTACAATATTTGTTCACTGATATATGGCTTCTCCGAACATAAAAACTTGATGAAAAATCAATTTCCTATATATGACGGAATGCGATACGAGTTACTCTACAAAACATGAATGATGATTATTCTATCCGACATATGCCTATAATTAATATATCTATATATTGAAATGTTTCTTAGTTTCAGACTTTTGACCTAAAAAGTTTTCATAGACGGAGGTCAATATTACTTCAGGGATTTAGAACTATCAAAATCATTTTTTTGTGAAGTCTCTTTAATTTAAATCTATAAAAATAGACGAGATACAATAGAAAATCGACGTCCCTTGAGAACTTTCTACGCTTGGGTATGAAAGAACATTTGGCGTTTTCTATTACGGGAAAATGTTTAATTATTTATTAAAAAAGAAATCATGATGTCTCTCGTTCCCTTATCGAGTGCAATCTGTACTACTTGATGGGAGCAATCAACGAAATATTAATCCATATAGACATATATATAAAAACAAGAGAAAAAGAAAACAGTTGACATATTTCATCATAATATTCATGGAAACTATTAGGATCCGACTACCAAAATAGATCCTAACTAAATAAAATAGGAAAATAAATTATATGGAATAACGGAAGACAAAAAAATAGACGGAATATGTCTATAAATATTTACTTTGGTCTTTTTTTTTTTTTTTTTCTAAGATTTGTCTAAATAACAAAAACAGATCTATATCTATAGATAATTCTCATTCTTTATGCTCGTTTCTTTTCTTCAACAAGTGCTATCGTCATGCGGAATTTATGTTCTGTAGATGTGCCATATTGAAAATGTCATCTCGGCTGTTAATAAATGACAGAACAAGTAAAATAATAAAAACATCGACCATATAATAATAACCTATTCCATATGAATGTGTATATCTTTCTTCAATTTAAAATCTATTGTCATCGTTTAGAATAATTATTAAATTATGTTCTTTCTTTACATTCCAAAACAATTAATTTAATTATTTTTTGAAAAACATTTCTATAAAGTGTGTATGGACTTGTATCGTTTTTTTTTTCTTTCTAACATTAATATTTTTATACAATGATAGATTTATAAGCTTAATCAACTAGTCTCATGATATTGAACGTGTTGTTATGTTCATGTCATTTATATGTATATATTCTTTCTTGTTCTTTTTTTTTTCCTATTTTTTATTCAGCATCTCGTCAAATATGCTTCGAGATAAATCAAATGATTGCTTATGTTATTGTCGTAAGCAGTTATTATTGAGTCAACTTATCGAAAGCAAAAAAAAAAAAAAAAATAACTACTATTGTGGTTTCTTTTTATAGTTCTAGTAAACGATGAGAATAAATTGGATGAGTACGAGTTTTCTTAATAAATTTAATAATCTACACGATAAAACTGTCTGAGAAATCTTTTTTAGATAGTATGTTGAGAAGAAAAAAAAAACCTAAAGAGAGAGAAAAATACGAGACGACATAAGTCAATTTTCAAAGGAGATGTTTTTTGTCATATTTCTTAGTTTTTTTTTTTTTCAGATTGACGATGGAAACAACCAATATGAACAGTAGAGTATCGACTTTAACACTCGATCTCGATCGAATAAATGATTTTCGAAAAAGTCAAACAAGTCTATTAAGTGCAGCGAGTGATGATGCAAGTTCTCAAACGAATGAAGTAAGTAATTATCAAATTAATTAAAATATACAAAGAAAAGTCTTACTAACATACAAACACTTGTTAGAATAAATACTAAAAAAAACTAATGTTTTTTTTCTATCAAGTAAATCCTATAGAATATAGTCACAGATTTGTCAGTCATTTTTTGTTAATTGATTAACTTTCATATCTCAATAATCATTGTCTACTGATATATAAAATAGTATTTGACCATTCTGAATTACATGAAACTGTTGGAATTGTTCAATATATGAAAACATATGATTCAAAAGAAGGTAAAAGATAAATTGATTTTGTTTGGATAAGGAAAGTTACTTCTGTATATATGTACGTGATTATTTCTATCCTGTGGGATTTTTTATCTAAATAAATCAGTATCTATTGTATATTCCCGACAGGATAAAAGATTTCATCATCACGCGAAGTATAAAATTCGACTGTAAATATCCTCATTTTGATAATTTGATGTATAAAAATTATGTAAAACGTTTTTCTCCTTTTTATTCTACTAATAATTTTCGAAACACACACACACATATATATATAAGGGTATGTTTTACATAATTTGACGTATTTTTATACAAATCAATAAACGAAACTTGATATATATTTAGCAATATGTATAAACTGATGTAAAGACAAATCTGTACGTAGAGTGTGTTCTATAAATATCTTTACGACAAAAACAAATGTCAATAATTCTTGGACGTTGAATTACAATAGGCTAATGTTTTTCTTTTTTTTATCTATGATAAAGAAATATTCGAAATTTTTACTCATAAGTCAAATATTTGAAAACTATGACTTTAATAACGATGTGTGGGCTTTTTCAAGATTAAAAAAATGTCATGAAAAATCTCTCGGAGAGGACATTCTTATTAAATCAACATATCCGATCCAATATGGTGATTAGTTTTTTTTTTCTAATTATAGAGAAATCTTATCTTATCTAGATAAGAAGGTTGAATTAATATTAAACATTCTTCTTTTATTTTATTTGATATTAACAAGTAATTAGCAAAACAAAAAAAGAAAAACTAATGATGTTTCGTGTCTTAATGATATACCATAAATACATATACAAATAGAAATAGAACAAACTAACTATAGATCATTTTCTTATTTTGTTTCGATCGTTCGTTGATAATGATACTGAAAACGATTCAATTCCTATCTAGCTATTATTATTCCATGTCACCATCGAAAAAAAAACAAGACATTTGTCTAGTTTGTCTATTCTTGATTGGTTCTGTTTTCAATCGAATGTTTTAGATTTATTGCATCAACATGTGAAGCATCATTAGTTTTAGCTAATTAATAAATAATATCAAATTAAATAAAAGAAGAATAACTACTAATGTTAATTAGAGAAATATATCTCATATGATTCAGTTTCGATAAAACTAATATCTCATGATTTTAAATTATTATTTATATATTTAATATTTTCCAAAACTTGTAAAAGCTCAGAAATCTTTATTTAAACCAATAGTAATGATTAAAAATAATACTTTTTCACGTTTTACTTATCAATAGAAGCTTTCAATACTTCTCTATTATCCATAAAGAAAAGCAGCTCATCATAATTTCCATTGAATAGGTCTAACTATATGTAAATCATGAAAAAAATAATCATAAAGAATCATCTTAGATTGAAAATTGTATCAACAAGATTAGCTTCATTCTATATGTTTCTTATGATTTCTTTGGTTATCAGTAATAGTGGCTTATATGATGGTCTATCATAATAAAGTAAATCCTATACATATATAATATCCATTGATTTAATATTTTGTTAATATGAAGGATCTTATTAAAAATAATCCAACCAAAATGAATCAATAGTTTGTGAACATGAAGATGATTACTATGAAGAGTTTACTTATCGTCAAAAGAATATAAATTATATGTATTCAATAGATATATAATTCTATAGCAATTTTGATTATTTGATCCATTTCAATGATCACTTAATATGCAATTGATAAGATGAATATTCTATAAATCTATATGATTGATTTCCTTGATTTCCATAAGCAAAAAGAACTTTTTTTTTTTTTCCCATTGATTGACATATACAATTAATAAGTAATCGGTATAAACGATCAAGGATATAGCTATACAAAAAAAATATCCTATCATCTTGTAAAATGACTGGTTCTTAGTCGATTAGGTCAATTTTTTGTTTTATGTCCTCCTGTGCAGAAAATGTCATTCATTCGACATGTAGCTGTATGATCGAAGAATTGCAAATGTTTCATGTTAAAATCAACATCTTTCTTTCTTTTTTTTTTGTTAAGGTTATAATTCTCTTATTAACGATGAGCCGGAAAATATTACTACTATTACGGTATTGATGAGTTCGTTTTTCTTTTTAATGAAAGTCATTAAGTGCAAAGAGAGATTATTTGATAAATCGAAGGATTTTATGTAATGAAATTTTTTACTTCATATTGAACATTACTTTGTTTCTTTTTTAGAGATAATTTATTTTTGGTCTTTTGTAATCGTTCACACTAAGTTTCTATCATTCTTTTGACAGTTGTTTCCGTTCATCAATCAGTCAGGCATACTTTTATCGACAACGCTTTTCCTTTTCAGTACTCTCAATCTGTTACAATTTCTTTTTCTCCGTTTTTCTTTTGACTTTGCCAATAACGTAGATGTTCGTTGATTAATGATTGTATCAAGTGGTCTTGAGAAAGAGTGTGCGTGAATTCGCATTAAACAGTCGACGCTATGTCCCAATGTCGTAATTGAAGATTTCTTTTTCTTTCTCTCTCTCTCTCTCGATCTGTTTCCATGTGAACCTTTTCCGTTGTTATTCTAACGTAATTTATGTATATCGAGTTATCGCTTCTTTTCTATATATGGAATCTTTTTTAGTCTCCCAGACTCGTTTCACATACAATTGATGTATAATAATGAAAATGACGACGTGCATATTTTATCTATTGAAGATGATGTACTCATACTTCTTTTTTAATATGACAGAAACGATCTTATATAGAATTTGTCTTTTTTTTTTTGATTTGTTAGGCATATAGATAAATTCTCTTATACAGATATATATATATATATATATGAGATTGATTAATTCGCAAAATCAGTTTATGATCGAGCCGTATGGTAATATAAGAAGGAATGAGAAAGATGGAAAAAGTGGTAGTAGTAGTTGTTGTTATTTTTAACGGAGTGTGTGCATCAAAGGCCAGGACAAAACGAGACAGGAAACGTGAGAGAGATATGCAAAGCCGATAGTAAAATTAAGTTTGTCTTGTTCCGTACAAAGATCTATACTTCTTGGGCCTAAAATTAACATATAAACATCATTCTCATCATTGTTTGTTATTACCTTAGGTCGTTTATTTTTTGGAGACTTTTGTTTGCTTGTTTGTTTGTTTTTTGGAAGTCTATACAGCTTTTCTCTTTCTCTTTCTCTGTTCTCATTTTCTAATTGCACAATGCTAATGTAAGTATGCGCAAGAGTACGCATATACCGTCTTTTTAATTTGTGTCCCTATGGGTTTGAACGTTCCATCGACAATCGTCATTCTCTTTTTCTTTTTTTGCTCACGAGTAGTATGTCTTTGTTTTAACATCAATCATGACGAAGCACATTATTTTATCCGATCATATATATATATATACCAGAGCTAGGCTAGTCAGTCCTAGAATCTTCAATGTATGTGTATGAGTATGCTTGATGTGAATTACAGACAGAAAAGAAGAATAGAGTGTAGATCTGCTCGTTTCTGTTCTTGCCCTTGTCGAAGCAGTAAGCACTATGGAACATTAAAAAAAAGAAAAATAAGAAGAAGAAAAATACCGCTGTCGGTGTGCTTCCTAACTCTTACTGCTGTTCTATTTAGTTTTCATCCTGTTGTCGTTATAACATGATTATTCATTGTTTTCATCAGACTTTTTTTTTTCACAATTTGTTCATTAGTAAGTTTGAAGAGAGAGAAAGAAAGTCGAGAACTACATGGAACTATTCATTGAATTATTTTATATAATAATTTTATTTTTTCGAGATGTTCTATTATATTATTATTACATTAATGAAAACTCGAGATCATCAAACAAAGACAGATATATGTATATGATTCTTGATTGTCTCTAATCAATTGTCGTTGTATTAGCGACTATTCATGAGACAAAATTCATGTCACGTGAACAATATCAACAATTATTATTATTTAAAGGTATGAAATATATTTTATGTTAATTTAAATTATTTAAGATAATTCGAGAAAAATTCTTAAGTGATTTATCCAGTTTTTGAAATAAATATCATAATATATTATGAAGAAAAATTACACTTCTTTGTATTTCTTTTTCTTTAACCTGAAACTTCATTCATTATCATCTTCTTTTTTTTTATATTGCTTCATGCTAGTATAATTTTCTCACCTGTCTGACATCTAATCCAATTAGAAAATAAATAGAACTTTATATTCGTGATTTACTGTTTTTGTTTTTTTTGTCTTTACATTAAAGCACAATTCAACATCTTTCATTTCCTATTATACATATAGTTAATCATGACATTGTGATATTTTATTATGTCATCATTAATTTTGACTATATATAGAGACTGAATTATATTTATAGACTTTTCTTTATATCAATAATTCGACACATTCTCCGTATCGTTCTTTTTTCCTTCTTATTCTTTAGTATTGTCATTTTAATTAGTAAGAACAAGAAAAAAATGCGTTCAACCTTGTCCGGAAGTCGTCAACTATCATTAGCATAATTGTATACTATGTTTAGTTCACAAGTTTGCTTGTTTCAGTTTTGTATTTTCTAGGAAAATAACGAGTTTTGTCACCCGAACTATGGTACACATCAAGAGTGAATATATTTAGATCTCTGTCGGATTAAAAGATATAATTAATTAAATTATTCTTTAGGAATGATAATGATAATAATGATGAGAAAAAAAAAAAGAAAATGTTGAAATTGACTGTAAATGACAATCAGTTTGTTGTTAAGAAAACACAATGAACGACATTTCTCTTCTTTTTTTTTTTTTGGATAAAAAGAGAAAAGTGTTACAACTAATATTATATATATATATATTGATGGTTGCTTTTTTTTTTCTGTTATTAATCTCACTAATTACAAAGAGCTTCAAGGATATGAATGGGTGTTTAAGTAAACGAAAAAACAAACGATAAATTAAGGTTGTCTTCGTCTTGTTTTCTTATGGAAAGACAAGGAAAAAAAAACGGAAGTTGAATAGGAAATATATTCATTCCTCTACATACTGATTTCATTGTTCTAAATCAGAAGAGAATTTTACACAAATATAGACAAGTAATGATATATTTAGTAGAATTTCTAAGAATGAAAGCCATTGAAATCTTGTAATTTCTTTTAAGTATAAAACATGTGAATTTGTAAGAGTTGTCTAACATTAAAACAAAAGTGCAGATAACATTCATAGACAAATATGTCAAAGAACGAAGGATCATTAGAAAAGAACAGATGAGACAGAGAGAAAGAGAGACTAACTCCAGTTTTTTTCTATTTTGTTGCTTTTAGCAATATGACAGAACAGAATAGCAAAAGAAAGACAATCAACCGCATCGACTGATTTTTTTTTCTTTTCTTCTTTTTTCTTTTTGTTGATGAAAACATCGTTATTATTTAGCATTTTTTGTTTTTTTTTTTACAATCGTTAAAGAAGAAAATGGAAAGCGAGATACTAAACTTTTCTCTATGTCATTGTTAACGCTGTGCACAGTATCGATCGTTTATTATGGTACAAATAGTTAATTAAGACAACTGTTATTATTACTTGTCATCATTTTTCATCTAAACGTGTAACGAAACATATTTCGATAGACAGCAATTATAATATCATCGTCTATTACAATATCAACAGAACTAAATAAATGGCTTCTTCCACAGTCACTACTCCTATTTTATCACCAAGAAGCAAGGTTTGCATTTATATTTTTGTTTTTTTAATGTAAAAATTAATATTTATTTAATCAATTGAAATAATAGTAAAATAATAACTATCGTTTTATGATGATAATTATAGAGATTAATGATCCATCTATTTTGTTTCGATTCATTTACGTATATGACAAACAATTTCATAGAAGATGAAAAACAAATTATTTTTCATTCATCTGACTATTTGACTTTTATATATATTTATGTTTTTTTTTAATTTTTATATGAAAAATATTTTATATCTTTTTATTGATTTATCTATTTAGAAAATGCCATTGGAGGGGACCTATGCAATATGGAATAATCGTGGTGGCTCTGGTAAAACAAATTTAACATATCATTTGGCTATTAAATATGCATATAGAAATCCAGATAAAACAGTTCTTGTTGTTGATATGTGTCCACAAGCTGATTTAAGTCATGCTTTTCTTGGTAAGTTTCAACAAAATAGATCCATCTACAATAGACATATATATATGTTTCGACATTTATATAATCCTAAATTATGAAGGTCTGAATAAATTTTTTTGAAAATTCGAACATTTCTTGTTAATGAAGAAAACATATCCACAAGCGAGAAAAGAAAAATATGTTGTTAATGAGAAATTTGTTCGTAGTGTTATTATGTTTTATGCGTGATGAATAAGTTCTATGTGATTTTTCTTCTACGCAATACTCTATTCATCAATTATATTACACTCAATAAATAGATGTCTCAGTATCAACTCGTGTTTTTTTTTTTTTTTTTGTTTACTTCAAAAAAAGAAAAAGAAACAAAAAAACAAATTCTAATTGAATTCAAATTTCATGTTTTTTAAGTTAATTACATTTAGTAAATGAATAAGAATGTAGATGGAATACCCTAAAGAAAAAACTTTCTTTCGTATTTAATATTATCAACGGATTATATTCAATTCAAGCGCAAATATTAAAATGATTCGTTACATTTTAACTCATTACCTTTTACTAGAAGTTACGTTGACCTTAACTATAATAATGTTGTTGTTTGGTAAAACATTTTTAGACTAAAATCTACTATACGATTAATTGATTAGATTTTATTCTTACAAAGTCTTAAGAAAATTTAAGACTTCTTAACGAATGATACATAAACAATATATTTTTTGTGGTTTTTTTAAGCTTTAGTTTGAATGTTTTCTTTTTCTTCTTGCATAAGATTATTATTGAAATTTGTGGAAAAAATCCCAAGTGTAAAACAATATCCGATCAACAATATTAAAAGTCTATTTTGAAATTACTAATTTGATGTTTTTACAATTTTTGCATTATTATTAAGTTTTTGATTATAGACATAACAAAAAATACTGTAGGCACAATTTTGTTGTCCATGAAAATCCCTATAACTTGAGTGAATAGTGTTTTTTTTTTTGCTTTGTTGCTTTTATGTAGTGTAAAATTCTTTCCATAGAAAATATTTTGTTTGCCTTTTTGTTATTGGTATTTTAAAGAGCTTCGTTAACGATTCATCAAAACTTTGATTTAATTAAGTCTAATATACAATTCATGCGGATTAAACTTGATTAGTAAATTGAAGAAAAGTATTTTTTCTACGATTTTGACCTGAAGGAACTATTGTGAATCAACAAGATTGATTATTGAAACTTCAGGAAACTTATTTGACGATGTTTTTTTAAGTCCTATTCGAAAGAATACATATGAAAAACATAGAATAATTACTTTTCAATGACTTACAATAATGTTTCATCATAGAAAAAGAAATAATTAATTTTGTAAACACACAAAAAAAAAAACAGATGTTTGAATTCAGTTATATTTCTATCCAATTAGTTTTATTAGATTTTCTAGAAAATTGTATGAAGTCTTTTTTTACGAAAAATATTCAAATCAAAGCTTCAAAAGTAAAGAAAAATGCGCTCAAAGTACTGAGACAAAATCATTCTTTATGCGTCACCTATTACTTCTTTGACTATTGATATTTTTATCAACAATAGAGAATAAGATAACATAAGACATTGACAATTCGAAATTTGAGCAAAATTATCTATGAACTTGTATATCATGGTTGGATAGAGCTATTCAAATTACCTATAGAAATACGCCCACAGCATAAAGACTCCGTAGCCTCAATATTTATCATAACATTCGAACAAAAAATCATGCATTGTTTTTGGAAAATATTTTTGAGAAAATCAGTTTTTTTTCAATATGATAACAAAACATCATGAATACAAGTTAATTTTCGAAGATTTTAATCATTAGAACTTTAGTTCCAAGTGAAACGAATTTCATATTCAGAATCAGTACAAAAATCTACATCGAACAGTATACTCAAAATTAATTTTCAACATTAGCTGTAAGTATACCGTTCGATGTAGAATTAGTATTTAACGCTTTTTTTGCTGTCATATCGAAAAATTCGATTTTTTCAACAGTATATTTTCGAAATTGTGCATAATTGTTTTTTTTTTCTTAACTATGTGACGAGTAAAATAAACAAGAAAACAAACAATATGGAAAAATATTGAGACCATCGAGACTTAATGCTTTTGGCATGTTTCAATTCTTTTTAGATTTTTCTAACTTTTGTTAATCTAATTTTTCCTAAAACATCATCTGAAGAGATGTCAAAAACAATATATCTATGGGTAACTCGACAAATTCTGTTTAACCATGAGAAGAAGAAAAAATACAAAAAGAAAAATTTTACTCAAATTTTGAAAAGCCAGTGCCTTACAACGCTTTCAAATTAATTACTTTTTTCTACTTCTGTTTTTTTCAACTCTAATAAACGGGTCATTGCAGGCAAA